GGTGGTGGTTGTGTTATATGTTTTTGTCTGGTCTGCTATTCAATTACGCTTTTATTCTTGTATTTGTATTTAATTTATATTTGGTTTAAAGTTTGTTTGTTTGCTGGGTTGAGTTAATAGCTCACTTAATAATTTAAATCGCAGTTTAATTCCTAAATAAAAATATAAATTTAAATATAAACAATTTAATATGCATTGTGGTTTTGTATTTCGTTTGAATTAGCTTTAAAGCGTAGTGTTGTTGTTGGTGTTTAGTGAATTTTGTGTTTTTTTCATTGTTGTGTGGCTTCAGTGGAAAATTTTGATTTTGATTTGTACACAAAAGGCATAATAAAAACTTACAAATATGTTTTTGGTTAAAGAAAAATATTACTAAATTAAAATAGCTTGGAATTATTACGATACGTTCAGAATATTTCAAAAAAAAAAAAAAAAATTAAAGATTAAAAAAGCAGGATATTTACAAATTTCAGCCCTCTAAGGGCATTTCATACATTCAATTTATGAATTTTCAGAATTGATTTTAAGCTTAAAGAAGTTAACGAAAATTTTAAAACCTTTTTCAAAAATGTTCCAAAATTTTGTAGTTTTTAAATATTACATATTTCAAAAGCACTTATGTATTATATGTCTAAAACATTTGTTCGAATTAATGCTGTTAATTTAAACGCAACACTTTTTTAAGATTTTAAGGACATTATTAATAATATGCAGCCTATTTAAAGGAAAAAAACATAAATTTGTCGAAAAACAATTTCAAGAAATTTTGAATTGTTTTTTTTTTTAAATAATTTTTTGTGATTTTATAATTGCCATTTCGAAATAAAAAATTTTTTTAAAAATTTTTAAAAAATTCTATATTTCGTTAACTTCAAAAAACTCATCATTTAAATCAAAAATTTCCACTGAGACTTATTATGTGTATTTTAGGTGCGTAAGTTCTGATTTATGATAACCTCATATTCGATTGTAGTTCGAAAACACATGATTGTGCATGTTTTTAGTATAAATGAGTAAGAAAAAAAAGTTATCGAATTAAAATAATGAATTTTATAGCATGCAAAAACAAATAGAATTTAGAGAAAAAATGCATGGCAGTGTTTGACAGCAGAAAAGTAAACTACATTTTTTAACATATTCAATTCTCCAAATCAGCTTACTATAACTACAGAAAAAAGTTTACTCACAAATAGGGAGTAAGTACAAGCAGGATTTTGAAAGTGCTCAATATGAGAAAAAATAATAATAATAACGGCAGTTTAAGTGCATATATGTAGTATGCTACCCAGGCAGTTTTAATTATTTGAAAAACTAATTTTCTTCGTAGGTGCATTGGGTTAGCAAATTTTCAGTTGAAAAAAAAAACGGGTTAGGGTTGCCTTTTTGCGTATAAAATCAGCGGCAATTTTTAAAGCGCTTGAAATAATTTTGTTTTTAGCTTTTGTTTTAGTTGTGCCTGTAGACATCAAATGCTACGAAAAGCAGCACTCTACGCTTGAAGTTTGTAAAGTTTTTTTTTTTTTGTATAGGTACCTTGTTTATTTATATAAATATATACGCCTAGAAATCATTAAGATTTTCTCGAAACTTCGTTTTGTTTTTCATATTTTTCTTTTATTTATTTACTTTAAGTTAGTCAGTATCAATATCAGTTTTTCGTCTTCTTCATTTTCATTTACGTCGACTGCCATTGCTTCATATGTCTCCGACACGTTTTTTGATGTGGATTGTATATGAAAATTACATGTTTACGATTAATTTTAGACCTAAGTATTTTTGGGTGTATAACATTTCTCACATTTTTTTGGGATTTTTTTAATTTTTTTTTTTATATTTGAAATGTATAACTTTTTTATATTCGTTTTTTCTTGTTTTTTGTCTATGCATTAGTGATTTTTGTGCATTTGTGTTGTTGTTGACACGTCATAGTTGTTTTAACTAACACTGTGCATGGTTGTGCTTTTGTCACTTGTAATTTTATTCATTTAAATTTGAGATTTAAAACTAATTTTATGTTGATTTATGCATATTTTCGATTTTTTCCTTCGCATTATTGCGCGCAGCCGTCCAGCTTTAGTATCTTAAGGCCTCATTTGAGCATTGGGAGCAAGTTTTCTGCTGCTTTCTTATGCATAATAATGTCCAACAGCGCCTTTTCAGCTTTGAATTAGCTTGTTCTTCTCTCTTCTCTCTCTTTATAATTATTTTATTTTGATTTGTTCTTGCTCAATTTGACAAACGCGTGGTTTTCTTTGGTTCTCTAACTTTTCCATGCAATTTTATGCTTAGTTTTTATTTTTGTCTTAACTTAAAGAGTGCGTTAAATATTTAGTATTTATTTTTATATAATTTATTGTGTTTTACTTCATTCATTATACATATATATAGTAGATATTCATAAATATATATATATATATATAGCTTTTCAAGGTCATTCATTATTTTACTGAATTCTTGCTGACTTTCTATGCAGATTATTGAAAAATCTGAACTGCAGACGTAACTCAAGATCTTTTCTTACTGCAAACACAAAAAGACATAAAACATAGAAAGAGATGGAAAAAAACAAGTAAAAGTTAGAAAAAATTGCAGTTGTTTAATAGGAAATAGTATGTACGAGGTGTATGTAAATAAGAAAGGATATGAAAAGTTTGGGGAGAAAATAATATATATGTAAACGACACAACTGATTCTTTTTTTTTTAAACACGAGTATCGTTAAAAAATATATATCGGTTATTTGGCGGTGGGAAATTACTGTTCCAAAAAGTTGGTTGTAGAAGTGGCGCTATAATGAGCAAACAGGGCAGGAAACAACAAATCCAAAGAGAGCAAAGAATTACAGAAAAGTGGCAACCAGTGGGATATAATTGAACCGAGAAGAGAAAATGTATTCAGTAGGAAACGGACTTTGCAACTTTAAATAAATAAATTAACATTAAAAATGAAAAATGTTGTATCAAGCACAAAAGTACAATTGACTGAGACCATTCAGTTATGAAGAGAAGAGAATAATTGTGCAATGTGTGTGATAAATTTTTTAACTGCAGCAGAGAAAATGATTGAGGCAAGCTTTTGTTGAAGATATGAATGTTAAATCTTTAAATTTGAAAGGTAGATGTGATACACATCAAACTACTTCTATGAATTAAGACTCTTTCCTGCAATGATAACTAAAATATTTCACTTATTAATTCAAAGAATTAGCTTTAATGTATGGATATAAATAATGGATCTCCAAATAATGGTATTATTTTAATAATACTTTTTTTTACAGCAATTGAAGCAATGACTGGAATAGCACAAAGGGTGATAATGACACATTTAAAAAGCATATTTAATCAGAGTGAATAAGAAGACAACAAGTGATAGTGCTTTATAAAAATAACTGAAATAGCTGAAATTTGACCATAGAAATATGTACAATTGAGCCATAAAGCCAGAAAATAAACTTTACACACATTTCATATTTGCATACGCAGTCGTGGCCGCAATAGCCGAGTGGTTAGCATCGCGCACTGCCGTTATGAAGGCCAGAGTTGGAGTTCTAAAGTTATAGAAAAATAATTTTTGTTATCGCGGTCGCCCCACGGCAGAGAATATTAAGCACTTGGAGTGTATTTCTAATATGAAATAAAAGCTCTTGCCCTCGTCGGCTTAGCATAAACATTAGATTTCTCTACTAAAAAAACTTCACGAAGCGGTTAAATAGTGCTAAATATATAAGTACATAGTATATATAATCGTAACATTTGAGTTTAAATATGTAATAATTTACATTTTTTGTTTTAAGACATTCTCCACATAAGATATATTAAAAATAAAACTGATTTTATGGCTCAAAGAGTATGCAAATAAAATAATGATTTAAAAAAAAAAAACCCTTTTAGTGTACTTGAAGAGTAGATTGAAGTAAATAAAGAACAAACAAAAATCTGCAACGAACAACACGGTATTTGGTTCCTGTTAAATACGCTGACAGATTTGTAACCAAAAAAAAAACTTAAATAAAGTTAGTTTACAATCGAACGAGTTTTTAGACTAGAAAATAACACAACGAATATTTCCATTTTGATGAATTCGCTTGAGTTGCATGAAGTTATTTCAAACATACATACATATGTAGATACAACAGAACATATATACACGCAATTAAGCGGTGATGTTGACTGTATTAATTGTTGTTGGCTGTCGTGTGTTGTGCACATCCTGTTGTGTGTACCACAAATTGATGATGGTTCTTATTGTACATGTGTAAATTGTATGTACAGTGTGTTGTTGTTGTTATGATTTGCAGTGTCGTCTTTTGTTTGTATATTTCAATTTGCGTTTTATTTGCTGCTAAACGCTTTGTTTTATGTTTCTGTTTTGATATTCGTTTTATTGCAGTTTTTTTTTTTTTTTTTGATATTTTTTTTGTACAAAAGCAACACACTAACTCACATGAGTTCATTATAACTGTTGCCGCTTTGATTGAAAGCCGGCGATGGTGTTGGCGATGGCGATTGCATCTCAGAACTGGGTGTAACGGCACGACTACCCGGTACCACCATATTATCCGGATCAACTTCAGGATCGAAGTCAACGCCACCCACCACATTGACGTCATCCTCTTCGAGATCAAATTCAATGCGCGGATGTGGCGATGGTGTTGGTGATGTGGATGGTGTTGGTAACTCCATATTGGCCGGTACAATGAGTTTCGGCAAATTCGGTTTCAATTTTTGTACGCGTATAACTGTTGAACGTTTAATTCATTTTTTTTTTTTTTTTTTGGTAGTTGATTTTATTTTGGTGTGTGCAAATACCGGGTACGCAAAGCGTTGATGTAACGTTGGTATATACAATTTTTTTTAATTGTTTAATATACACGTGTAGAGGTTTACATTTTTGTAGTTGAGAAAGACGAATTTTCATACAAATATTTGGTGATTTGTACAATTATTTTGATTATTGAATAGATAAATAAAACGTATTAATAGGAGTTTTTCTATATTAAAACTATATATAAATAAATAAATAAATACAAATAGGTATTAAAAGAAACCGGGTTCAACGAGAACAACAAATTGAGTTAGAGAGCGGATTTACACGGGAGGGAAACGAGTGAATCACACAAAATATAAAATATTTGTGTATGAAATGAGATTTGAGAAATGTTTTGTGTAGCAGTTGAATGTGGTGAAGAATGAAAATGGCATCAATTAAGCTAAAATAGCGTAGGTGTGTCTGTAGATTACATACACACAAGCTTATTTGCAGGTAAATCGATAAATGGAAATTACGAAAAGAGCCTTTTGCAGTGGAATGAAGTGAGGATCTCATGTAATCGCTTTATGTGAAAAGTCCCGCTGAGCAATGATGACTGCATGATTTGGTTTGCGATAATTTGCTGCAATGCAATTGTTACAAGTAATCTAAATTGATTTGTTAAAATCACTAAAAGTAGTTACTAAATATTTATCAGAGACCTAACTAACATTATTTTCAGCAAACTGTAAAAAAAAACAACAATAACGGCAACATTTTAATGTAAACAGAAACAAATAACAACACATAAGACTTCAACAATGAATAAATAACTGAACACGTTCGATGAACAACGCAGTAACATGATAATGACTTCACGCAATTCGGCACACTGTCATGGACGAATTTATATATGTAAGTGAAATGAGTGTTAAACGCAGTTTTGGATGAGTTTAACAGTGCAGGGTAATCAATATTACCTGACGCCGGCGATTGCAACTAGATTCTACCAATCCTTTTTAGCATTTTTATAGAAGAAAACTTAAGGAACATTAAGGGTGTAAATTATTGATAACTTCTTTAACTCAACAAATATTTTCTACAAACTTTTTTTTAATAATATTAATGCAAATTTTTGCGAATTCACGCTTATTTTTTCTTTAAATTTCCTTCTCAACGCGCTCGTTTGCATTTTTAATTATATTCAATGCAGCAACAACTGTAGCTGGCGCGACGGCTACTACTACATCTGGCATTGCCGGTGCTTGTGGTGCCGAATCGGCGACAACAACACTTTTAGCATCTAACTTTTCGCTAGTTGCAAGTGCGTCACTCTCATTTTTCAATGAATTCAAAATATTGATATCATCTAAGTCATTCGATGCAATGATATTCGAGTCATCCAACTTCTGTTCAGCACCTGCAGCGGTGACAGCGACAGCTGTTGCATCTGTTAATTGCATTTTTTGTGCAAATTCAGTTTCAAGTGATTTTGTTGTTGTTTGGGTAGCCGTCTTTATGGTAGCCATTGACGATGTCGATGCTGATGCTGATGGTAATGCCGGTGGCGATGATGATGATAATGATGATGCGTCTTTTGCCAATGCTTGCTGCTTTTGCAAATGAGTAGACAAAACTAACGATGGCGATGATAATGGTGGCAATGGCGCGATTTGCTTTTCAACTGATGGTGGTAAGCGTATATGTGAGCTTACAGCAGCTGCGGATGATGATTGCATTTCAGCTGTGTGTGAAAAAATGTGATGCATTTATCTTTCACTGAGCGACCTAAACAATTTTACTTATACTTTTACAAGCTAAATAATTAAACTTATAAAACCAGTCAAGGGCAGGTTGAGACCGCAGGGGAGTGATTTCGAGTGAATTGCACTAGAGCCAACGTTGTTTCGCGTAGAGGTGATCGCACATACTTATGTGCGGGTATGTCAATCCTTTTGATAGACGCAGAGATTTTGTAAAATATAATCAAATGAAAACGTGTACTCACTTCTGTCGATGTTGCGCTGCAAATGTGCGGCGACTCTGTGACGTGCATCGTTGAATTCCAAATGCAGACCTAATCTGAGTAGGGATGGATTCTTTTCCACCAATTCGGTTATTTCCATTTCGATCTTATTGCCGAGCACTGAGGATCGCTGTGTTTTAGAGTGAGAAAAATGTAATCTTCTATGAGTTTCTCTTTTCTTTGTGAACTCAAAATGCTTACCTGATTGGATGCCCTGAATTCTTCAATTGTGCGGCATTTGAGCAGGGCTTTTACTAAGGTCACAATAACAGGCGGACTAATGAAATTTGTCTCAACATTTAATACTCTCAAGGTTTTGCTTTTCTCAATTGCTTCAGCCAATAAGAGAGCTGTCTTGTCAGTGAGACCAACATTTGTTAAGGAAAGAACTTCCAAATTTTCATTATCGGGCAGTACTTGGAAAAGTTGTTCAAATTTCTCATCGGAAATATTCTGCCGAGGAAGCGTGTTTTAAAAATTTATTTATTGATTTATTGAATAACAAGAAATTTAATATTTTAGAATTATTATTTGAATATTTAAACTTCTCACCTTAATATTATTTAAGTTCAGTTCAATCAATTTAGCATCGTTATCTTTAACACGTTTAATTGATTCTTCGACATCTGTGTTATTCGGTGGATCCATTGGGAACAATTTTGGTTGAGTTGATTTTGTAATGCCATCCCAACCCATACCAACTGGTTGTCCCTTGTTCAACAATGAAGCGTGATATTGATCCTGATTCATCATTGAATGGAAACCAAGAATAGCTGAGTACATAAAAGCAAAAAAAGTTTCATTGGAAATATAAATTTTGAAATTATTTATTGTCTACATACCTGCCAAATCGATAATCTCCTCTTGCGTTGCATCGCTCAACGCATGCTCATATTCTTCACCCAAATCGATGGCGATCTGTTCCTCAGCGGCAACTTCGCTATCATCCCGTGGTGGCGGCACCCATTTCTTACCTCTTACAGTACCCTTTACGTACGGTTCGAATTCTGGCTCATCGGGTGCTTCTAAAGCTTGCTTATTAATGTGCTCAATTAATTTTTTACGATTCAATGGACCGGTGGGATCTTTAGCGCATTCGTAACTGCAACGTTGATCGGGTGGCAGGAAATTGTCCTGAAAAAGTGTGAACAAATAAATTAGATTGCATTTTATAATTAATTCAATTTAAATTCAAAAGGAAAATTGGCGACGCACTCCAGGTTGGGTGCTACCTAAGAAGGCATGGCTGTCGTAAGGGACGACTTATAGTTTTCACGAATATCGGGTATTTATGTTCAAACTAGCCGGACTTTTATCTTGGAAAATCTGAAGATACTCAAACTATAAACAGTGTGAAGCTGTGTTTTCCAAAGAATGTCATCTGTAAGGCTGCAACTACCCAACTCACTCTCCAGCCGTCTATAACTGACGACGTTAGTAGTGAAATACATACACGAGCTATCGACGCCGCTGAGAGCGGCGAAATGTTGCCAGCTGCCTGTGTGTTTGCACACTTTTGAACAAATTCATAATTTTCGTCAACGAATTTCATAATTTATTTGCTTTAACATAAACACAAGGCAAATATACATGATCTATATAGTAACAAATAATTAGTTACGCATTTATTTTTCATTTCTTTTGAACAAAACTACGCATTATTTTCGATTATTTAATGTTACTTTAAGAAAGGCCATACTGGCAACCTTGTATAGCAACGAAAAATGAGCCGAGCCGGTTTTACGGAAAAATCAAAACTTCGTTGGTTTCTGCGACACAAACGTCAGCAACGCTATGGTAAATCGGTGACAACTTTGTGTTTATCTCATAAGATAGGTTACTATGGACGGCTGGTACGCTCGTTGGGTAGTTGCAGCCTAAGTCTTAAAGATTTAAGAGATTTGGGAGGTAAGTGATATTATTTGCCTGATGAAGAGAGTAGGGTAGGATTCTCCGCAATAAAATGAAAAGAGAGGGAAAAGGTATTAAAGACAGGGTGAAAGAACGAGAGAGGGAGGAATAAAGAGAAAAAGGAAGAAAACTAATGTGAGAAAAAAGAGAGGGGGATAAAAATAGAGAGTTAGAGTGAGAGAGAGAAAAAGTTGGTGTGTGCGAGAGAGAGAGAGAGAGAAAAAGTGTGTGTGAGTGAGAGAGGGAGTGGAAGAGAAGAGAGAGAGGGAGAGAAAAGAGAGAGGGATAGCAAGAGAGAGAAAGAGAAAGAGAGAGAGAGAGCAAGAGAAAGGAAGAGACAAGGAGAGGAATAGAAAGAGATATCGCGATGGTTGACGGTAAAGAGAATCCTCGTATGATCCAGAAACATTTTATGACAAATGAATCGAAAGCTATTTTAGAAGCGCAGTGTTCCTATATGAAAGTTTTCGAACATAGTTGGGTATTTGAATTGGTTTTACGGTACAAAATCATAGAGACATGCTGACATGTAGTTTATCAGATTGTGAGTAAAAACCGAGGACAGGAATTGCTTCAATGTTCTAACTAATAGATCTTCCAGAGCTTGGTTGGCCGTGAGACACAAGCAATATTTAGTGAGTTTCCCCTAACATACGCCTTCGGCCGACAATAGCCAGTGGCAGTGATTAACACTACGTAGCACAAAAAAAGCTCACCAATGACAACAAACGTAGAAAAAGGAAGAGCGTTGAAGGCTACAAGTTTAAAAAATTCACTTAGGTGCGGTTTAATGTGCCTGTTCTAATAAACAAATTTCGGTTCACCTGTGGCGACGATTTCTTTATGGATTTCTGAAGATTTAGACAGCGTGAATTATACATAATGCAGGATATACGAGAGTGAAATTTCACCAAATTCACTTATTGCAACAAATTTGTAAAAATAAGTATAAACAAATGTGCATTACTTACATCGGGATCAACTTCTTTGGCCAGAATATTGATTTCCTCTGGTGACAATTGCGCCAATAATGCATCAACATCAACCTCATCATATTCGCTCAAATCCTTGCCATACAATTTGGCGGGAGTGGTGAGAGTGGTAGTTTTGGTTGTGGATGAAGTCTGGAAAGATAAAAATTTTGCATTTAAAATTAGCTGCATACAACACACAAAGGAATACAAAAATATTGAAAAAAAATTTAAAAAATAATAACAATAAAGTAAATTAAAAAAAAGAAAATAGAATGAAATACAAATTAAATTTTAAAATTTAATAGTAATAAATTTTTGGAAAAATTTTAACATTTCTCAGTGGCAAAGTGGTTGGTGGTTGTGGCGCACGCCTTTTCACTTTCGGCACTGGACGTAATTTTAATTTCTGAAATTCAGGAACGAATGTTTCAGTTTTTTGACCTTCTTTGGGGGAGTCCATGGTTAAACTTTTTTAACGTTTTTTAGGTATTTTTTATTAATTAATAAATAATTTAAGCACTTCGCAAACTATACAATGAGGTGCAATCTACCAGACACACGCGCGAATATTTAGAACGGAACTAAACGTTTAACACGATGAATGACAGTTTGGCTTTGAAATGTAAGAGTTGAAAGAGACAATGCCGATGGAAAAATACGGAAAATTTTTAAAAATCAATATTTCATTTCCTAATGCACATAGAAATTTAATCCAATTATTATGTTTACACTTCCTATACAACCACATATATATTTACGCGCCTGACGAAACCTTCAGCCAACACTTACCATTATTTGCTTGCAACAGCAGACAATGGATCACACAATGCACAATGGAAGATCAATTGAAAACTGCAGAAAATTAGTAGTTCCCCGTACGCAGAGTTAAAATGATGTACGAAATTCGCACCTTTGCTTACCGTCAAAGTTCAAATGCGACTGACGTACTAGTTTGTAGGTAAACATCTATTTCAGTTCGTTTGATATTTTCGTTGGTTTGTTTTGTGTCTTTGCTTTTGGAACACCTCCTCAAGCTTCCACATAAACATAGCAAAAGAAAAAAAGACAAAACATTCAATAAAGCCAAGCCAAGCCAAGCCAAGCCAAGCCAACTTCAGAGAATGGGCAAATAAAAAGGGTACGACGGCGACGTCGACCATTACATGAATAAAGCTCGAATGAGGTGGAGTAACAATGACGTCGTCAAAGCGCACACCAGATCGTAGTTAATGTTTAAACACAGCGTGATAGTATTATTAAGTCTGTCTAGTCGCCTCGCTTGTCAGTAGTAAGTTACACACATACATAGGCCAGTCAGTCAGTCACACATAAGTTATAGCAGTCAACGGAAATTAATGTGTAGCATTGCGGATCAGCGAGCTGGCGCGCAAGAAGTTGTCAAACCACTACTGTACCTAATAAAACAACAACAACAACAACAACAAAGAGAATGAAGCCACAACAACTGAAACTCATGGGCAGTGTAGCTAGCGAGCGGCTGCACCCAAAATGCTTCATCGCTTGGCATGACCTAAGATTGCACAATAAGAAACCGCAAGAGCAATCGCCGTAACTAAGATGGTGCTGGTGGAGACGGAGTTTAGTGAGACCCTAAGAAAAGGTGAAACACACGGTTAAAGATTGTTATTATTATTTTCGGTTGCGGTGATGCATGCAATCAGCAGACCAGTAGACTAGCAGCGGGGACCGAGCGCGGAGTATACGAGTCGAGGGGGAAAAAACAAAGCTGTAATTCTAAAGCTTTATTTACTTCTCTTGTCTTTTTCGTTGTAGTGCAGATTAAAAGCGAGTTCAAGCGCCTCTTATGAACTTGTGGCTGTCAAAGTGTACTTCAAATGCAAGAACCATGCATTATTGTAATACAGATGTACTACAGAGAGGAAATACAGGTAATAAGTTGAAGCTTAAACAAATGACGTTGTTTGAAGTTTTTGTTTTGTTTGAGTTAAAGAAACTGAAAAACCCTGTTCATTTTTTCTGGTTAATTATTTGTTAATTACCACAATAACGAAGTCCGCGGACGCGCCTCGACAGAAAAAGTCAGGCCCTAGGAGTGTATGTCTGACATGAAATAAAAGCTCCTGCCGTAAATGCAACGGCCGTGCGGTGGCGGCTCAGAATAAACTATAGATCTCTCCAATTGTTGAGATACCCTTGTGGGTTTCTTTCCTTTTTTTGTCTTTCGATAGGGGATCTAAAAATTAGGACCAAAAAACTACCGCAGTTTTATGGTGTCGGCTGCGCGTTCTTAATAAACCAAGACTCATTTCAACCACAATGACTGAAGGAGAGTTTGTTTCTGAAGGGCTTAATTTGACAAAGTTTGCAGGCGTGGAAATAATATACTGGGCTTTGAAAGATTCCCAGCAATGCTGCGCTTAATTAGCTTTATATTTCTCTCCATTCATGCGCACCCGTCTTCGTAAAGCGCGAACTAAAAGAGCTCATACCTATTTTTTTTTTATGATATCTCAGAGGTAACTCCAAATCGAGTGCTCATCCAGAGTTCAGCTCTTCGGACAACATTCTGACGCGTTGAAATGTCAATACCGCCTTTACGCTGTCAGCTACATGTCTGATGACGGACCTAAGTAATCGGATAGAGTGCTGCTACTGAAAACTCTGAAGCTTCTAGCGAACAGTCATTCTTAGCAATTGCTGCCCGAGAGTTCGCAAGCGCTATTAAATAATTTCTTTTCCAAAGAGAAGCTTAAAATATATTTATAAGTGACTAAAAGCACTAAAACCTAGCAGACCGTACATTTAAAAGTATAGGAGGGCCAATATGCTAAAGACTTGTATCATGAGAAGTAATTCTTATTGTTTACATTATATAAATGTTCTTTCCTGTCACAGTTTCTTCCATCGGTCGCCACCGGAACCTACCACCTCACCTTTCGACTCTTGTCTAAAGGCATGAAAAAGTCATTGCTTCTCTTGCAAGCCATACACCAGAAAGGGTCCACAAATTGGCCATGTGAGTTGCATATTATCAATCAAACCACACTCTGCGCAAGTAGCGTGACAAAAGCAGTTGAATTGCTAAATCGTGAGAGAGTTGCGATCGAATTAGGCATGCAAAGTTGGCTCAAGTGCGGCGCGAAAGACAAACGCGGTTGTATTTAATATAAATAACTACAATTGTTTCGAGCAAACACGACGTGTTAACCTCTTTCGCTTACCAAGAATAAAACACACACTTCAAAATGGCCCTTACATCCGTTTTTGAGCTCATTTGGTACTAAAAAGAAAAAACCGATGGGCGATGGGCGATTTAAACTCACCAAGCGTGACGTAAATGAAATTCATTTTTAAATGCAGTAATTTTTCTTTTAGTTATCGAAGCCATTTTACAACAACAATCAGCTTTAGTTATGGGAGATACGAAATATTCCTCCAGCGTTTATTTAGCAGATTTTTCGAGAAAATGTTTCTACTTGCTCTTAGCGTTATCGCTTCCAGGCCACTGCTGAAGCTGAGAACAATCTCAAATTACTAAAATTCAAATTGTTTTATCTTTTATATTTTTGTATTTTTTTATAATTTTTTCATATTTTTTTTCTGTTGGTATAAAGTATATTTCCCATTGTATTTACTTATGTGGCACTCAGATGTATTCTTTGCTTCACGAACTCCTTACAACTTTCAAGTACCATGGAAAACAGGTTCTTGGGAAAACATAAGAAAAAAAATAATAATAATAATAAATAATAACAAACTGCAATCGGCAGAAGTGAGTCAACAAGCAAGCCACACGTACAAGCACTTCAAACTTGAAAAGTAGTAATGACAGCAGAGACAGAGCGACATCGCCTCAACAAGCAGCCGAAACTGGGTAAGCCAACTGATATTGTTTGCGTATTTTGGTCATGAGATATTGACCCATATTGAATATTATTATGTTTATTAAGAATATTTTTTTTGTTGTTTGTTTGTTTGTACAAACGGTACGCATGCGCCTGTAGAATTCTTGATCCCAAACTAGTCTAGACAAGTGTGTGTTTAATTACGACGCATATATACTTTTTGCGCGCTTCTAAGCGAAAATAAGTAGGTTTCGTTTGAAGAAGAATATTTCTCTTCGAACTGATTTTTAATTAATTATATTTAATATTTTCAATTCCCATGCCGGGTTCTGGAAAATCAGTTAAGATTAATTTTTTATTTTGATTAAGATTTCATAAGGAGGATAGTCTTCTACTAGTATTAAAAGCAGGACAAAACTAACAAGTTTTTTATTCTTGAACGAAACGGTTGTATGGGCCCGATTTGATATAGATGTCCGATTGTCATGATTTTCAATGAAAATATTTATTTGTTGGTGCGAATGTATGTACGAGTATAATATCTTAGATACTGCTTTGACGGACTTCTGACCAAAGTCTCATTTCTACACAGATTGGTGTACGATGTGTAGTCATCCGACTTCGGTCAATGCGCAAGTCATTATAGATTTGTATTTCATGCTCTTAAATGTTTTTTTGACGGATTTATGATCAAGCCGTTGCCGACCTGCAACGGTCCAACTGTGGGCTAGTTTGCGTACAAACAGATGGATAGACCGACATAGCAAAATCAGCTCAATCAGTCATTTTTATTCGATCGGTATACACTTTGATGGGCCTATCTCTAAGTCTCACGAGGTACAAATTAGTTCGGTCCGTTCTTAAAAAAATTGCTCCACCTGCGAGTTGTGGTCCTTTTATGGAGGCGATGACCTCTTTCATTTGAAAGGTTTCATATCTGTCAATAAGTGTCTGGGTCTGCTTCTGACAACTACATTAGTTTTTTGCTTCTTCGAAAATGCCCGGATTTGTGTTAAATAAACAGCATTGCGGGAAGTTTTGATTTCCTATTTTGATTGAAAGAAAAGTACAACTGAAACCCATCGAATGCTTGCGATAGTTTATGGTGAATCTGCGCCAACCGAGTTAGTCATGGAGAGAATGGTTTCGATGTTTTAAAAGTGATAATTTTAGGGCCGAGCTCAAAAAGATTGAAGGTGAGAAATGCTACTAAAACCAAGGGAAACCATTGACGTGAAACGTTATCGACTACAGCTAAAGCTTGAAAAAGGGCCAGAAGCGCTCGAAAGGCATAACAAGGTGATTTTGCAGTATGAGAACAAC